GATTTCAAAAGATATGCTCTGCACTTCTGAGAAGCAAAATTGTTGAATTATTTCATACATTTATGCCTGATTACCTAAATGAGAAACATGTTAAAATTTATATTCAGGCCAGGTGTGGTGGTTCATGCTTGTAATCCCAGCATTTTGGGAGGCCAAGGCAGGTGGGTCATGGGAGGTCACAAGTTCAAGACCAGCCTGGCCAACACAGAAACCCGTCTACTAAAAACACAAAAATTAGCTGGTATGGTGGCAGGCTTCTGTAATCTCAGCTACTTGGGAGGCTAAGGCAGGAGAATCACTTGAACCCAGGAGGTGGAAGTTGCAGTGAGCTGAGATTGTACCATTGCATGCTGGGCCTGGGCAACAAGAGCAAAGTTCTGTCTCAAAAAAAAAAAAATTATATTTAAAACAAAAAGTTGAGGCTGGGTGCAGTGTCTCACAATTTTGTAATCCCAGCACTTTGGGAGGTTGAGGCAGAAGGATCAGCCGAGGCCAGGAGTTCAAAAGACCTGTCTGGGCAACATAGTGAGACCCCATATCTACAAAAATTAAAAATAAAAATTAAAAACAGAACAATTTTAACGCTTGTGGCTTCTGTAAAGGTAAAAATCAATAACTTCATACTATTTCCTCTCCTGTAAAAACATCATTTATCTTTTCTGCCTTGCACAGCTATTCTCAGCTCCCTTCCAGCAGCGTTTATTAACTCCATCTCTTCATTTGAGAAACAAACATTCAAATAATCTCCGGAGCAACTGGAAGAAAAAACAATTTCTCCTTTGTTTTTCTTTGTCTAAATATTTAACTCAGATAATGTGTTTAATTCCCCCGATATTTCATATTATGTTTAATGAGCTTTTTTTACTAAAAATATAAGGTCATTTTAACTTTTAAAAATAAGCATCATGTCTTTCTTTTCTTTTTCTTTTCTTTTTTTTTTTTTTTTTTTTGAGACGGAGTCCCTCTCTTGTCGTGCCTTCCAGGCTGTAGTGCAGTGGTGTGATCTTGGCTCACTGCAACCTCCACCTCCCAGGTTCCAGCACTCCTCTGCCTCAGCCTCCCCAAGTAGCTGGGATTACAGGTGCCTGGCACCACACCAGTTAATTTTGTTGTATTTTTAGTAGAGACGGGTTTCACCATGTTGGCCAGGCTGGTCTTGAACTCCTGACCTCATGATCCACCCGCCTCGGCCTCCCAAAGTGCTGGGATTACAGGCATGAGCCACCATGCCTGGTCCAGCATCATGTCTTCTTTTCAAAATTACATCCTTCCTTTGATGAGGCATCTGGCTGCATCTGATTTTAAATCTTCCTTAACCCAATAAATACTGCACCTATCCCTTTGTCATTTCTTACCCTCCAACATTTAACCTCTCCTGTGATAGGCCTGCTCCTCACCTTGCCTATGTCATGGTGACCCTCCTGCACTCAGACTTGATCCAGATGGGAGCCCACATATGACAGAGAGGCCTGGGAGCAGCCTCGGACTCTAATCATTCATTCTATCAGATTTTTCGTGACAAATAAAAATTTTCTCTTCCCAAGCACTTCCAGGACTCCCAGATCTCTTCTTATTTTCTGTAGAACTTTTCATTAAGGTATCCTGTTCAGGCCTTAGTGGTTTTGTCCCTGATCATTCCTCTCAACCCACTGTTAACATTGCCACAGTCTTCAACAGATTATGCCCCTACTGTAGTGTGCAAGTCATGCACTACTGGTTTATATAGAATGATTTATTCTGGCAACAATCCTGTGAAGCTGTGGGATTCTGAGGTACAAAATCTCTATGAGCTTCCATTTCCTGATTTAAAAATGTGAATACACACAACAGAACTCACGCTCTGTATTCCATACCACACTGGGCCTTCTTACACATGGTTGTCTTTTCCACATGGTGTCCCCAGTAGTGCCACACAGTGTATAATTAGATCTCAAGACAATACTACTTGGTGTGATTTTTATTTAATATTTTTATAATTATTGATCACTGCTACAAGTTTGTCTGTGTTCCACCAAATCTCATGTAGAATTATAATCCCAATGTTGGACAGGGCTCAGAAGGTGATTGGATCATGGGGCAGATTCCCCTTGGTTGTTCTCATGATAATGATGAGTTCTCACGAGATCCAGTTGTTTAAAAGTGTGTAGGGCCTTTGTCCCCACTTCTCCGTTTGCGGCGCTGATAAGACATGACTGCTTCCTTTGCCTTCGCCATGACTGTAAAGTTTCCTGAGGCCTCTCACCAGCCATGCTTCTGTACAGCTCGTGGGACTGTGTAGAGCCACTAAACTTTCTTTATGGGGTAAACTACCCAGTTTCAGGATTTTTTTTTTTTTTTGAGGCAGAGTCTTGCCCTGTCCAGGCTGGAGCCCAGGCAATCTGGCTCACTGCAACCTCTCCTCCCAAGTTGAAGCAATCCTCCTGTCTCAGCCTTCCTAGTAGCTGGGATTACAGGCACACACCACCACACCTGGCTAATTTTTGTTATTTTTAGTGGAGACACGGTTTCACCATGTTGGCCAGGCTGGTCTCAAACTCCTGACCTCAGGTGATCTGGCCTGCCTTGGACTCCCAAGCAAGGAGATTGCAAGCATGAGCCACCATGCCTGCCTCAGGTATTTCTTTTTACAGCAGTGTGAATGGATTAATACAACTACTTATTCAATTATTTTTCCTGAGTTAGTTCTAAGACATAAAACAGATTTCCATTTAAACCTTATTGAAAGCAGAGGCAATTCACACTAAGGAATCAATGCAACAAGACATTTTTATCTTCAATTTTTGCCCCAAACTGAGATATTTATCTTTAATTATTAGTTTTGCATTTGTCCCTCTGCCAGCTTTAAGGCATAATCAACAAATAAACACTATGTTGTTTTTAAAGGTCTATAAAGCCTTAATCCTGAGAACTCTACCATTGGAGTACTTGTTAATTGATTTCTGTTAATCACCAATCGTTTTTGTTAAAAGGACTTATTCAAAATCTAACCAAACTTTTAATTTACTTTCAGCCTCAGAAAAAAAGAAAATCTCCTGGCATACTTGTATCCTGCTTGGGTGACACAGAACTCTAAGCATCCTAGGTTAGGATTTGAGCACATTAGGGAGCATGCTGAGGATGCAGGAGGAGTGGGAAAGTGAGCCACAGGTAAAGGCAGTTTGTAAATTCTCAACTGTCATGAGGGCTTCTTCTTAACTTGTTCCAGGTATTAGCTAATGCTGTCTTGTAGATGAGTATTACTATATAGCTGGATTCCATTAACTACCATTTTTTTGATTGACACTTTTGTAGTTTTTGAATCCCCAACTCAAGGGACAAAACTTTAATTGACTTCATGCTGTGGCTTTTAAACCACTGACAAATTTGTGATTTTATTATGCACACACACATCTCCTTTTAAAAATATCACTCCGCTTTGTACATTTGTATTTCCCAACATTTTTTCAGAGTTGTAGAATTCTCACCGCTGTGCTTTTGAGAAGTGCTAATTCTACCATACAGTGCTGGCTGGGCAGCCACTTGAAATGAGGGCTACTATTTTCACCAATTTCTTTTCTTTTTTTTTCTTTTTTTTCTTTTTGAGACAAGAGTCTTGCTCTTGTTGTCAGGCTGGAGTGCAACAGACTGTTGATTCTGCTCACTACACCTCCGCCTCCTGGGTTCAAGCAATTCTCCTGCCTCAGGCTCCCGAGTAGCTGGGATTCCAGATGCGACCACCACCACTGGCCAGGTTTGTATTTTTAGTAGAGACGGGGTTTTTATAACGTGCCATGTTGGCCAGGCTGGCTTGAACTCTGACCTCGTGATCCGTCCACCTCGGCCTCCCAGTGCTGGGATTACAGACATGAGCCACTGCACCCGGCCTGTTCAACTCAATTTCTAAGCCTCCATAGGTCTCCTTCAGGCTTTGAAATAGCCAAGAGACCAAGCTCCTGCGATATGTGTGTGAGAAACTAAAGTGCAAGGACAAGAGAAGCTTCCAAGATGAATAGATTGTCTTGTTTCGTTTATACCGCAATTGCTAAAATGATATGGTTAGGACATTTGAAAAGTTGCCATCAAAATGTATGATTGAAGTTTTGGAGCAAACTAAAATAAGATCGGGTCGTAATAATATCTTACATGTGCATGACAGTGCTCGCAAACTGCTGCAGCAGTAGACTCACTTGGGAGCTTCTGAAATTCTAAATGGTCAAGCTGTTCCCATACCTGGGAGTGGGGATCAGAATGTCTGTGATGGGAGCCTGTGGCATTTGTTTTTTAAAAGATCCCCAGGATGATTCCAAAGTTCAGCAGAGTTTGGGAACTGGATGGCATATGGTAGTGCAAGTTTACCATATTACCTAAAGGACTAACTAATTTACAGAATGCTTTACTTCACAGACCTCATGGATGTTTACATTTAAAATGCTTCAATATGATGATAGTAAATTGTTTCCAAAAAACTGTAAAAGAAACTGTCAGTGAAATTGAAAATTATTCTGTGATCTAAATATTGCCAAAAAAAGATTAACCCACTCCTTTTAGAGGAGAATGTCAGAAATATTGTTTCATTTAAAAATCCTTTGCAAGTACACAGAAGCAGAAGAAAGATGAAGGGAAAAAAAGATATAAACAAAGAAAAACTAAAATGATTATTTACTAAGAACAGCAAATGCTCATTTTCTGGGCACAAATTGCCAAAGTTCCATTCTCTGTCTTGTGGACTTTTATGCACACACAGGGACATGATGGTAAAGTTATTAATGCTTTCAGTTTATCAAATAAACCTTGAGTGTTCTTTTCTGCCCTCAGTGAATTTGAGACTTTACTATCTTTATGAAAAAAAGAAAGAGAAAGAAAATAAAATGTGTCCTAGTAGTGAACTTGCCTGTCCTTTGAATTGTTTTGTGGTTGGGTGATGTCCTCCTAACTGATTATCTCATTCATGATTTACGTTGGGAACATTCGAGGATTATGTCAGCCAAGACTCCTGCCACCTGTCTGGTAAAGAGAGCAATTTACAGTAACAAACACACGCCAGACTGATGATACTCCTCCCCTACAACTTCCGGGTAGGTCTGTTGGGGTCAGTTGAGTTTCTCAAACAGCCCTGCTCTATAATTTCTTCCTGCCAATGCCTATAGGAACAGCACCTGTTGCAAAGTTTTGAAGAACTGCTTATCTTTGTCATCAAATTCCACCTCCAACCTCACAGAGAAATCATCAATTCTCACCGATGTCTTTGGCATAAACCACTGAAGGGTCTGCACAAATGGGGGTTTAATAGTCGCTTCTAGGCGAGGAAAGTTGATCGCTTTGGGCAGAAATGATGTTTCTGGATCACTGTGACTTTTCTGTGAAGAAAGGAGACATCAGCCTGAGACAGAGTTAACAAACCAAAATGGGACACGTTCTAACAACACAAAGTGTGTAGCATTCTTTTCTTACATTTTATTTTAATTGCAAAGACAATATAATAACATAAAGAATAACTGAAAATAATATTGAAATCAAATTTAAATTCACATATAAATAGACAGCACTCTCATTATTTGCAGACAGCTTTCACTCAGATGCAATTTTTAAATAGTGAAGCTTTGGACATGACTTTTATTCTTGGTGTTTCAAGGAAATACTAGGAAAGTTCTGTAGAACCACACCTGCTTGCCTGCAGCTTCTAGTCATTGCCTTTTCAGGGTCACACAGAACAAGTTAAGAGCCATTCTGTCCTACAAATCACCACTAATTTATTTTAAAGTGCTGCTGCACTCGCCTTTTATTGGTAATATAGATATGATTTACAGAAGCCTCACTTACCTCCCCAACTGCTACAATACTAATCTTGGTGTTATTTCTTTGAAGACTTAAAAATCATTAGCAATTTGCAGTAGTAGGAATTAGCATAAATTTAGTATCTGGGGCACTAAGATTATTATTATCAAAACCCTCAATCTCTATGTTGAAATATTCAGTATCTAAAGAAAAAGCATGTTCCCAACTGTAACCTCTATTATTAATACATTAGTTATCTATTGCTTGTAACAAATTGCTCCAAAATTCTAGTGCCTTAAAACAACAAACATTTATTATTCGCCAGCTTCTGAGGGTCAAGAATCTGGACGTGGCTTAACTGGGTGTCTCTGTCTCAGATTCTCTTCTGAGGTTGCAGTAGTTGTGGCTGGTTGAGACTGTGGTCTCATCTGAAGGCTCAGCTGAGGCTGATAGATTTGCTTCCAAGCTCACCATGGTTGTCAAGCCTCCATCCCCTATCACATGAGCCTTCACAGGGCTGCTTTAAAACATTGCAGCTGGCTTTCCCAAGGTCAGTGATCACACACACACACACACACACACACACACACACACAGAATGCTCAAAATAGAAGCCATAGTTTTTTTAATACCTAATCTGAAGTAGCATCTCATCACTTGCCATTCTATTTCTTATTGAAGGAAGACTACACTTAAGGTAAAAGGATCACATGGGTATGAATGCCAGATGTGTGATCATTGGGAGCCATCTTAGGGCTGCTTCTGCAATATACTCTTTAGTTACTCTAAATCTAGGTTTTTGTTTTTTTTTTTCGAGACGAGTCTCGCCTGGGCTCACCCAGGCTGGAGTGCAGTGGCCGGATCTCAGCTCACTGCAAGCTCTGCCTCGTGGGTTTACGCCATTCTCCTGCCTCAGCCTCCGAGTAGCTGGGATTACAGGCACCCGCCACCTGTCAGCTAGTTTGTAATTTAGAGACAGGCTTCACCCTGGCTTGTGATGGTATTGATCTCCTGACCTCGTGATCCGCCCCACCTCGGCCTCCTGCAAAGTGCTGGGATTACAGGCGTGAGCCACCGCATCTGGCTATTCACATTTTTTAGAGAAAAATTTTGAATCTGATGCCACAACACAGTCACTTTTATTTTGTTGTTAAAATCCTAGATTTGGCTGGGTGCGGTGGCTCAAGCCTGTAATCCCAGCACTTTGGGAGGCCGAGAGATGGGTGGATCAGCTGGGCTGAGATTGAGACCATCCTGGCTAACACCGTGAAACCCCGTCTCTACTAAAAACACAAAAAATTAGCCGGGTGTGGTGGCGGACGCCTGTAGTTCCAGCTACTGGGGAGGCTGAGGCAGGAGAATGGCATGAACCCGGGAGGCAGAGCTTGCAGTGAGCCCATTCCAGCCTGGGTGACAGAGTCAGATCAAAAAAAAAAAAAAAAAAAAAAAATGTGGGCGATTTCCTGGTCTGATTGAGAAACATCTTCCACACAAGTGGCTTGAAGTAAATATAGCAAAAATGCTCATTATCACTAATCATCAGATAAAGTAAATTAAAACCACAATGAGATACCATCTCACACCCACAGAATAGCTATTACTAAGAAGTGCAACAGCACAAATGTACAAACAAACAAACAGCTAGGCACGGTGGAGCCACGCTTTTGGACTTAGCACCTTGGGAGATCAAGGTAGGCAGATTGCTTGAGCTCAGGAGTTCAAGACCAGACTGGGCAACATGGTGAAACCCCATCTCTACTAAAAATACAAAAATTAGAAAGGTGTGGTGGCGTGTGCTCAGAAGGCCCCAGCTGTACCAGGAGGCTGAGGCAGGAGAATTGCTTGAATCCAGGAGATGCAGTGAGCTGAGGTCGTGCCACTGCACTCCAGCCTGGGTGACAGAATGAGACTCCGCCCAAAACAAACAAAAACAAACGAAAAATACTAAACCAACCAACAAAACCAACCAACCAAACAAAAACATATTGAGGGGTTGTAACAGAAAAGGGAATGCTTACACACTGTTGATGGGAAAGTAAATTAGTTCAGCCATTCTGGAAAGCAGTTTGGAGATTTCTCAAAGAACTAAAAATAGAACTACCATTTGACCCAGCAATACTATTACTGGTATATACCCAAAGGGAAATAAATTGCTCACCAAAGACATACACGCATATGTTCGCTCACAGCACCTATTCACAATAGCAAAGACATGGAATCAACTAAGGAGTCCATAAATGGTGGATTGAATAAAGAAAATGTGGTACATACACAATATGGAATAACAATGCAGCCATAAAAGGAATGAAACTATGTTTTGCAGCAACATAGAAGCAGCTGGAGACCATTTTCCCAAGTGAACTACCATAGAAAACAGAAAACCAAGCACTGCATGTTCTCACTTACAAGTGGGAGCTAAACATTGGTAAACATGACGTAAACATGGGAACAATAGACACGGGGGACTACCAGATGTTTGGGGGTGGGCAAGGGTTGAAAAACTATCTATTGAGTACTGTGCTCACTACTTGGGTGGTAGATTCAATTCTGCATCCAAAACTCTGAAAGACATACAATATGTCTTTAAATAAACCTGCACACATATACTCCCTGAATTAAAATAAAAGATTTTTTTAAAGAAATGTCTTCGTTTTTTAAAAAGTCAATTTCTACCTTAAGTCAACCTTAATAGAAATTAATCATATTAATGTCCATCCTTTACATTTTCCATTCAGCCAACAAAAGCTTTTTGGGGAAAGGATTGGAGAGTTTGCTCCCATATATTCCTTCGAGATTCCCACAAAGTCAGATGATAACGACAACAGACTCTGCTCAGCAAGATGACTAAAGGCAATATCCAATAATGGCACAACTAATAACAAGAATGAGGATAACTGACATTTATTCAGGGCCTACTCTCAGTTAACACAACATTCAGCTCTTCATTAGATTATTACATTCAACCAGTACAACAGCCCTGTCTCTAACTCCTGCATTTTTGACTCTTATGTGCTCATGAAGAACTGTGCATCTGAGGAAGCCACAGTAAATAGGTGACTTTTTCAAAGGAAAATTTAGAGTAATTAAATTTATTATGGAGAAGAGAAACTTAATTGGGAGGCATCTGATGATCCAGTGATTCCTTGGGTTCTTGTTCTGTGACTCCAGCCTCACCCACTTCCAGAAAGGTCTATCCGAACTTCGTGACTTTTCCCACTGCGGAGACCTGGATCAAAGGTGCTACAAGTTATGTCTTTTTCTCCCAAAGTCTCCACCAACTGAAAGAAAGAAAATGGAGGCTTGCCACTGTGAACCGACTGCCCTGTGGTCTGTGTGGCTTACGCCTTGTAGGTTCAAGAGCTCCTGAGGGAGAGTTACTGAGATACATGTAAGCTTCAAAAATAGATATTTAGGCCAGGCACAGTGGCTCACACCTGTAATCCCAGCACTTTGGGAGGCCGAAGGGTGGATCTCCCGAGGCCAGGAGTTTGAGACCAGACTTGGGACGCAACATGGTGAAACCCTGTCTCTACTGAAAATACAAAAATTAGGCGTGGCAAGTGCTGCGCTCATATTCCCAGTTACTTGGGAGGCTGAGGGAGGAGAATTGCTTAAACCTGGGAGGCAAAGGTTGTGTGGCTGAGATCGGGCTATGGCAGTTCAGGCCTAGGTGACAGAGAGCAAGACTTGTCTCAAAAAAAAAAAAAGAGAGATTTTTTAAAAGTCAGGTTTATTGAGGTATAATTTACACCTTTTAAAGGTATCACCTTTTAAAGGTATCAGATTTTTAAATGTGGCAGAACGAGCAGAGCTAGAATGCCATCCAAATAGATCAGGAATGAGCTCCCAGACCTGCATGTCCTAAAAGAGAACAGAAGGCATTGGAAAGGAGTAGGTGCCTCAGGGAAGGTACTTGCATCGCTTCCATGACCACTGGCAGACATGAATTGAACACACTGTACTGTGGGTCAAAAGGGCCCTTAAAAACTCACAGTCTAAGCAGCAATGGAGACTGCCCAGGAGCTGGAGAGTAACCTGAAGACTTGCCAGACCAGTCTTTACATCAGGATGAACAGTTCTCACATAGCATCTCAAGCCCACCACGCCCAGGGAGCCTTGGTTTGTCCATCAGTGGTGGCTGACTGCAGCCCTTGCAACTAATTACAAAAGACAAGGAAACCATGGGTCACTTGGAGGTTTCCTTTATGTTCTTCAATAACCCAATGACAATCCCTCTGGGAGGGCAGGTGATTCATGCCTTGTATACCTTTTCCCAAGAAATGTCTGTAGGTGCTACCAGTGAAGACTGGGCTTTCCCATTTATTTTGTTCTTGTGGCTGGGCTACTACAAAGATGATGTTGCCTTTGATCTCTGCACTAGCAACTCCCACCACAGGTCTGTCATTAAAATAGCAGGCTGATTATTTCACTCTTGCATCTTTCCCTGGCAGTTCTGTGCAGGGCTTTTGGGTCATCAGCGCTTGCACTTTGACAAATAGGAGAGGCTGTTGCTGAGGCATTATCTTTTTGTAACAGCCAAATGGCAGCTGCAGGAGGACTTCTGCTCATTGAGTGAATATATTTCAGGACATTAATGAAATTTCCTGGGACAGGAACTCCCACACAGAGATTACAATGGATTTTCTAGTAATAGTCAATGAAGCGAAGATACCACCTGCCCATACATGAGGCCTCCACAAGGGGAATTTGGTCTGCCAAGAACAGCAGGTATTGGCATGAAATTGTGTGTTGGAGAAGCACTTAAGTCAGAGACTTTCATGATTATTTGCTCTTGTTCTGCTGCACTGGCTCACCAGAATAAAACCTGCAGAAACGCGCAAGTGGTCTTCTGCTCATTTATTTCATTGGAAGACCTCAGAAGCTTAGATTCCATCTGAGCTCCTCTGGAGATGGCTCAGAAAAGCTTTGGCTTCTCTGCAAAATTAACCCCAGACCCATAAAGGCAAAGAAGGTAATCCTTTTCAGTGATGTCTAAAGGAGAAGGGTTTTTAATTCATTTCAAATGCTTAAGAAGGCAACAGGGAGGGAGCATTTGAACTCCGCTGTGTAACATGCTGTCGAGGCATTTGCCTTGGATTGGAGGATGCCCACTACATTAATCCAACGTGATCTCATTTGATTAAATTTTTTAAAAATATAAAGAGTTGAAATAAAAATGTTGGAAGATTCTGCAGTTATAGAGGCTGTAAGAAAAAAATGTTGAAGATTTTCTGTTTCACTGAAGGCTGTTTTTATATGCCTTTTCTTAATGTTGTAAACAATCTTATTCAAAACAGTCACAACAACAGATGCTTTATTAGAAAGTTAAGGTTTATTGAGGAAGCAGCTTCAGGCAGTGACCAGTGTTTAGTATGCTTTAAAGTGGTGTTTACAGTGCTTTAAGGTCGCATTTTCATGAAGTTTGTTAATATTTCATTTTGTAAATCCAAAGTCTGCTTATAGAGTATTAAGATTTATTTATTTTTATTCTTTAAATTTTTTTCCTCAGACAGAGTTTTGCTCTTGTTGCCCAGGCTGGAGAACAGTGGTGTGATCTTGGTCACTAACCTCCACCTCCCAGGCTCGCGATTCCCCTGCCTGGGGTGTCTCCTGAGTAGCTGGGATTACAGGCACCCACTGCACCCGGCTAATTTTTGTATTTTTAGTAGAGATGGGGTTTCGTCATGCTGGGCTGGTTGTTCTTGAACTCCTGACCTCAGGTGATCCACCCACCTCGGCCTCCCAAAGTGCTGGGACTACAGGCATGAGCCACCGCGCCCGGCCAAGATAGATTTAAATCAAACGTGGGAATCGAGGCATCCAAGTGGGTGTTTTCCCTTCTGGAAGTCATCTAAAGAGACTTTCCTCCTGACTCCAGCCAATGCTCCCGCACTCTCGGATACTCACTGAAGACTATGAGGGTAGAGATATTAGTGATTGTCAGTGTCACCACATCCTATTTGGATTTCACCTGGGCACGCAGAAGACACTAGTCAGCCTCACTCGTGAGAGGGCAGATCCGAGGACGGTTCTGGTCAACAGAATTGTGTGAAGCATGATCGAGACTATCCTGGCCAACATGGTGAAACCCTCTACTAAAAATACAAAAAATTAGCTGGGTGTGGTGGCGGGTGCCTGTAATCCCAGCTACTCGGGAGGCTAAGGCAGAAGAATTGCTTGAACCTGGGAGGCTGAGAGGATTGCAGTGAGCCAAGATTATGCCATTGCATCAGCCTGGCAGAGTGAGACTGTCTCAAAATCCACACACACATAATTTGTAAGTTCCACAACTGAATGTAAGAGGGTAGAGAATGCGTTCTCCTGACAATGTGTGAGTGTATTACATAAATCTCTCTGAGAAGAGAGAAAGAGAGAGGGAGAGAGAGGAAGGGAAGGAGGGATGGGGAGAGAGAGAAAGAGAAGGGGAGACAGAGAGAGAGAGAGAAAGAGAGAGAGAGATTTCATTTAGGGCTTTGTAAATCCAAAGTCTGCAGGGTAAGGTTTAGGCACGCTGAAACCCAGGGAAGGATCGCAGCTCTGACCTCAAAGGCAGGTTTGCTGGCAGAATTCCCACTCTTCTGCAGTCAGCTTTCTTATTAAGGCTCAACTGATTGAATCAAGCCTTATCCACGTTAGGGACAGTCATCTACTTTACTCAAAGTCTAATGATTTAAACGCATCCTATCTGCAATCTGCCCAGAAATATCTCAATAATATTTAACGTATCAAATATCTGAGTACTGTGGCCTAACCGAAAGGACATAAAATTAACTATAATACCCACAATCCTCCTCTTGATTTTAGAGTATATGAGGATATTGAGATTTAAAAGAAAGCAAGTTCAATTGCTTGAGGTAAATAACCAGTCTATAGCAGAGCTGGGACTTGAATCTATTGTGAATCTAAAGCTCTTGATTTTCTCCCTACACAACATAGTCACTCACTGCCAAGGGTCTTTTCACAGGCCAACTTTTACTTCTTTTTTTCTTCTATAGAATCTTTTTTTTAGAGACAGGGTCTTGCTCTGTCATCCATGCTGGAGTACAGTGGCATGACTATTACTGCAGCCTTTGAGCTCCTGGGCTCAAGTGATCCTCCCACCTCAGCCTCTGAGTAGCTGGGACTACAGGCATGCATTCCTACACCTGGCTAATATTTTATTATCCAGAGAGGCAGGGTTTCTCTATGTTGCTTAGGCTGGTCTTGAATTCGACTATGATCCTCCCACCTTGGCCTTCCAAAGTTTTAAGATTACAGGCATGAACCATCATGCCTGCCTTCTAAAATAGCTTAATCTTATTATTATATCATAAACTACAAAAACTTGGTTTCCAATTTTAACAGCTGGCAACATCATTTGTGCTCATGTAAATATTTTTTGAAGGACTGATAAAAGTACGGGAGACATTTGAAAAGGAACAGAATTTTCCAGAGCTATGACTATCAGTACTGGTAGTTTTATGTTTTTATTTTAATTATTATTACTTTTATTATTTTGAGACAGAGTTTCGTTTGTTGCTCAGGCTGGAGTGCAGTGGTGCGATCTTGCTCACTGCAACCCTCCGCCTCTGGTTCAAGTGATTCTCGTGCCTTAACCTCTCGACATCTGGGATTACAGGCGGCTGCCACCACCCTGGCTAATTTTATTTTTAGTAGACATGGGGTTTCACCATGTTGGCCAGGCTGGTCTTAAACTCCTGACCTCAGGTAATCCGCCACCTCAACCTCCCAAAGTGCTGGCGTGAGCGAATACAATCTTGGCTCATAGGTGTGAGCCATTGTGCTCAGCCTGTTTGAATTATTTTTGAATAGATAATGTATGTAACAGTGTTAAGTACTTCACACACTACGTTGTTGTGCAACCAATCTCCAGAACTCTTCATTTTGTAAAACAGATAATTTATACTCATTAAACAATTCTATTTTCTCCTCCTTAACTCTGGTGTGAAACTGCCGTTCTACTTACTTTCTTCTTCTTTTTTTTTTGAGACGGAGTCTCGCTCCTGTCACCCAGGCTGGAGTGCAGTGGCACGATCTCAGCTCACTGCAACCTCTGCTGCCTGGGTTCAAGCGATTCTCCTGCCTCAGCCTCCTGAGAAGGCTGGGATTATAGGCACCTGCCACCGCCTGGCTAATTTTTGTAGTTTGTTAGAGACGGGGTTTCACCGCCTTGGCCAGGCTGGTCTTGAACTCCTGACCTTGTGATCCACCCACCTTGGCCTCCCAAAGTGCTGGGATTACAGGCATGAGCCACCTGCTCACTCTACTTACTCTGAATTTGACTACTCTAGGTAATTTTTATATGTATGGAATCATGCAATATTTGTTTTGTTTTATGACTGCATGTGATTTTACACATTTATTTACTCAACATGGTTCAAGATGCAAAGTTAGCTAAGGTGATACAGTGAAATTTTATTTGCATCCCTATCCCCAGCCCCAATTTCCCTTCATCTGACATACATAACTAATCCTATAAATTCTTTCAAATATTCTATATAACCATTTGAATTATGTATTCTTTTTTCTTTTTTTTTTTTTTTTGAGACGGAGTCTCGCCTGCACGCTCAGGCTGGAGTGCTGTGGCCGATCTCGCTCACGTGCGCTCCGCTCCCGGCTTGACTACCTCTTCTGCCTCACAGCCTCCTGAGTAGCTGGGACTACAGGCGCCCGCTACCTCGCCTCGGCGTTTTTTGTATTTTTAGTAGAGACGGTTTCACCGGTTGGCCAGATGGTCTCGAGCTCCTGACCTCGTGATCCGCCCGCCTCGGCCTCCCAAAGTGCTGGGATTACAGGCTTGAGCCACCTCGCCCGGCCTCTTTTTCTTTTGGCCACAAAGCTGTTTTGCACCTCACTTTTCCTGTTCTTTAAAATACATCTTGGAGATTGTTCCACAGAAAGTGCTCATAGTGTTTGAGAAAGTATTAGGAAATATTTAACCATATAATATGCAAGTAAAAATAGAAAATCATAATACTTAATTCCAAGATGTTGTCATTAAATCAAAAAAGTATTCTCCCAATCCCTGTGGACAATACTGGTGTCAGCAATCCTCTGTTGCATGCTAGTTTACCTGCTTCCTAAGCTGCTCTGGTTTCTAGCCAAGAAGAGCCTGCAAATATCTTTTGCTTCCTCTGTGAAGTTATCATGCTGGAATTTGACCTCGGCCTTGCAGAGTTCTTTGCTTTGTTAATCCCTTTACTGACCTTTCCCTTGTAAATTCCGAATGGTGTTCATCTGTGCAACCATTATCATAAATGCTGCATCCCATGGCAACCAGTCCACAGGATAGGAATAACTTACCTTTTCCATTAGATTCAGGAGCCATGTAACCATTGGTTCTTGTGCCTGTAACATCCCAAACAAAAAACAAGACAACACAGAACAAACACAATAAGGTGAGTGCAGCAGACACTGCTGATTGCCTACCTAATACATATATTCTTCCTTGTTCAGGAACCCTATTTGTTTGGAGTGGCAATGGGTCTAATCCTTATTCCCTTGTTGCTTTCCCAGCAGCTTTGGGTGCGAGCCAGGAGGCCAAGAGATTCATTTTGGCCAATGAGATAGAGTTGGTGGCGTAAGGTCATCAAGAAAAGGGAAGCCGTAGGCTGCTCTTGATGTGGGAAAATCTGTTACCTCTCTTAGGCTCATCACCTCATCTTTAAGATGAAAATTTCAAGGGATGTCTGCCAGTAAGATCCTGTTTGTTTTTTTAAAGTTCACAGATAATAGAAAATTAGATGCATATGATTTTTTTTCAGGTTGAGCACTCTATTACTATCATTAAATGTTCATATATTGTCTAATCTTATAACATGTTTCTTATTCTATGTGCCATAATAACATAACATCACAATAGACACACCTCTGCCTGCCTGTCTCTGCACTGGAATAATTAACACTGTCATTTAATTGAGGAAATTCTGCACACACATGAAATTTCATTTTACATGCATGACTATGTGTATTACAGGCACAATTTCTACTGACAACATGCCAAATGATCATTAGATTAAATATATATACATATTCACTATGTATACATACATATTTATTTCTATATATAATACATATACAAATTTATATATGTTTGTATGTATGATAAATTACACATAAAATTTACTATCTAAATCATTTTGCAGTGTAAGTTCAGTAGTGTTAAGTACATTCTCACTGTTGTGCAACCAATCTCCAGAACTACCATCTTGTAAACTGATCATTTACACTCATTAAACAACTTGCTATTCCTTCTCCTCAACCTCCCAGGCAACCACCATTTTACTTTCTCTTCATGAATTTGACTACTCTAGGCCTCTCCCCATATGAGTGGAATCATGCAATATTTGTCTTTTACGGCTGCATTGATTTTAATTCATGTATTTACTCAACAAATGTTTAATGAAATCTGCAAACACAATTCTGCAATTTTAAGGTATATATTTACTTCAGATTTTTTTGTTTGAGATGGAGTCTCGCCATAAAGGCTTCCAGGCTGGAGTGCAGTGTCCTGATCTCAGCTCACTGCAACCTCTACCTCCCAGATTCAAGCCATTCTCCTGTCCCAGCCTCCCAGGTAGCTGGGATTATAGGCGCCACCACCGCACCTGGCACTTTTGTATTTTTCGTGGAGATGGGGTTTCACCATGTTGGCCAGGCTGGTCTCGAACCCTGACTAAGTGATCCTCCCACCTAGCCTCCCAAAGTGCTGGGATTACTGGTGTGAGCCACCGTGCCTGGCCGACTGACTTTTCGAAAGCAATATGACAGAGAGCAATGGGAAACAAAAAGTAACAAACTGTTCCTGTCTTTCAACCAGATTATCTAACTTTGGAGTATGTACCTCAAAGAGACTAGAAGAAAGAAAGAATCTATATTGAGATGTTCATAACTTCATTTTAATTCAGAATGGTCACAAGCTGGAAACACCCAAAGGTCCACTAATAAGATGATAAACCAGAGTCTATTGTTACTACCAAGAAATTTATATATGTAATGATTGTCACCCACTGATTACAACTATGCATTTACTTAGGAAAGGTTGGAAAAGTTGGGTGCAGTGGTGGCACATGCCTGTAGTCCCAGGTACTCAGAAGGCTGAAATGTGGAGGATCCTTCATCCAAGGAGAGGTTCGAGGCTGTGGTGCGAGCAGACAAACCACAGCACTGCAGCCTGGGTAACTTAGTGAGACCCTGTCTCTATGAAGAAAACATTAGGTTGTTGAGCTGTGCATTAGGTGTTTTATTTCTAGTTGCTTAAGTATTTTTTAATGTAAGGCTTTAGAAATATAAAATTTCATGGATAATTTCCACATGGTTCACAACAACGAAAAAACATAAACAATCCAAGTACTAATGAAGAGTGATTGGCCTGAACAAGAAAGTTCTGGAAGTGACTAGGGTCTAACGGGTGTGCATGAGTCAGCATGGCACTGCTGTTTTCAGAGAAGCTGGTGTATAATTTGGGTGACCATATGTTCCGGTTTGCTTGGGACAGTCCTGCTTACATCTGCTTTCGCCTTGCATCTTGTCCAGTTTTGCATTTGTCCAGAGACAAGAAGTCCGCAGGCACCTCTGAGTGCCCAGATATGCCTACTCACTTTTGTCTCCAAATCCAGGTAGGCGTTTATATCAATGATAATACCTCACCGGGTGCATGCCATGTTTTTAATTAAATAACCACTTAAGACGGTATCAGATGCTTTCCATTCATTATGCAGAAAACATTTGTTGAGTCATACCCGCAATGAGTTGCAGTGATACCGAGATCTTGCAAGGCCTCGACCCCCGCCCTGAGGATTTAGAGACTGGTAGAGACAGACAGTCAGCTGCTGATTCAATAGAGTGTGAACACGTGCAGCAGGGGGCCTGCACGGGTCGGGTGTGTGTGGCATGTGTGTACGTATGTGATTGTGTGTGTGTGTGATTGTGTGTGTACATGAGTGTGTGTGTGTGTGAGAGTGTGGGTAAAGAGTATGTGTGTGTATGTCAGTGGGTGTATGTATATGTGTGTGTATGTGTGTATACATGTATGTGTATGAGTGTGTGTGGAATGTATAAAAGTAGTGTGGTGTGTATGTATATGTGAGTGTGTGAGTATGCATATGTGTGTGTATGTGCATGTGAGTGTAATGAGCATATGTGTATGAGAGAGCATGTGTGTATGTGTGCATGTGTAAGGAATCGTGTATGCATGTGTGCCTGTGTATGTGCATGTGAGGTGCATGCGTGAGATGTGTGTGTGTGTATGTAGGTGTGTATATATATGTGTGAATGTACATATGTATGTAAGTATATGTGTATGAGAGCATGTGTGTGTATGTGTGTGCATGTGTGTGTATGTGAGTGTATGTGTGTGTGCATGTGTGTGTGTGTGAGTGTATGTATATGTGTGTGTATTTGAGTGTATGTATATGTGTGTATGTGAGTGTGTATATGTGTGTGTTATGTGAGTGTGTATGTATGTGAGTGTGTGTGAGTGTGTGTGTGTGTGTGTTGAGAATACTTCACTGAAGAGCCACAGTTGGCCTGAATATGAGGGAAACACCTAGAAGGCTATCCAGGTAATGAACATGTGCAAGAGATGATTGGGAAAAGTGTAAGGTATTCAGGGAGTTTTTACAGAATTTGGTGTTTCTAGAATACATGATCTGGGGGATGCCATGGAGGGAGGGGAGATGGGATTTGAGAAACTGTATCTTTAGGTAGCAAATCTATTCCCAATCTCCTTTCCCTTGCCTCCTCTGTTATCACAAATGCCAGATGACTAAAGACAACACCTTCTCCCAGCCTCCTTTGCATATAGGATAGTGATAAGGAGATATTTGAGAGGTGCGCCGAAGGTGCAAAGGTTTTTGGAAAGAGAAGTGAGTTTGATCTAAAATAAATAAAAAAGATGTAAGATTGATTAAATGGATGAGGTAGAGATGGATAGATAGATGGACATTTGATTAAGCAATCTAGTAAAATGCTAATGATATACAAGGAACATTATTTGCCATAGAAAGGATTGAAGTACTGGCTGCAGTGGTGGCTCACGCCTGTAATCCCAGCACTTTGTGAGGCTGAGGCGGGCAGATCACGAAGTCAGGAGTTAGAGACAGCCTGGCCGGGCCATGGTGAAAACCCCGTCTCTACTAAAAACACAAGCAAACAGCTGGGGCGCCTGTAATCCCAGCTGCTTGGGAGGCTGAGACAGGAGAATCGCTTGAACTCAGGGAGGCAAAGGTTGCAGAGCCGAGATGGCGCCATTGCACTAGACCTGACGACAGAGTGACTCTGTCTGGGGGAGGGAGGATGGGGAAGAAAGGAATGAAGTACTGATATACATGCTTCAACATGGGTGAACCTTGAAAACATGCTAAATGGAAGAATAGTCACAAATGATATATACTGCATGATTCCATTTATACGAAGTGTCTAATATAGGCAATTCCATAGAGACAGAAAATAGATGAATGGCTGCTTGGGATGGGGAAGTGCAGAGTAATGGAAGTGACTGATAAAGGATATGGGATTTCTTTTGGGGGTGAAGAAAATATTTTAAAATCGGGACAGGTAATGTTTGCACACTCCTGTAAATGTAATACTAAAACCGTACTTTTTTTTTTTCTTCTTGAGACATCTGTCGCCATCTGGAGTGCAGGGTGCAATCTTGGCTCACTGCAGCTCCACCTGGGTTCAAGTGATTCTCCTGCCTCAGCCTCAATAGCTGGGACTACAGGTGTGCACCACCATGCCTGGCTTTTCTTTCTTTCTTTTTTTTTTTTTTAAGTAGTGACAGGGGAGCTACCATGTTGGCCAGGCTGGTCTTCTAAACTCCACCTCAGGTGATCCATCCTCCTGGCCTCTCCTCAAAGCGCTGGGATTACAGGCGTGAGCCACCGCGCCCACCCAGTACACTTTAAATGAATGGCTTTGGTACTTAAATCGTATCTCAATAAAGCTGTTAAAATGTCAATGATAAACTTGTAGGTAATGGGTATTTCAAAGGTGCTTGTGTGAAATTCTTCAACTTTGCCAGGTATGCTTGGAAGTTTTTATAATAGAATATGCAGAAGGAAAGGAGAGTGAGGGAGAAGGGGATGTGATGCCCAGCTGGCTGCTGGTTCATCAGGCACAAGGACTCTTCTTGGAAGGGACACAAGGAGGGCACAGAGAGAGTGGATGAGGCATGCAGCTGCCCAGTCCTTCCCATCTCCCTGCTTCCCATTGCTCAAGGATTATCCGAGCTGTATTGGCTGACATGTCATCCAGCTGATTACAGCTGCCCAGGAAATAAGGTTCCATACCCCACAGGATGATATTTCACCAGTTCTGAAAGTGAGGGGCAACTCCAGCTCAGATGTGCTGTTGACAGAGAGCTGTCCAAGAGGGACAGAAAAGGAGGCAGTAAAGGGAATGTAGAAAGGTGCGTGAGGTTTGTGGTCCGCACACCCAATCTGACGCAAATTCTCAAGGACAAACTTTGATGTGGGGCTTCATCCATGGTGCTGGCTATCATGGCTACTGTTATTAACAATGCAGAAACCAGTGGCTGTCTGTGCTGGGAAATATGTCATACTATTTGTGTGTGTGGGGTGTGTGTGTGTGTGTCAGAGAGAGCGAGAGAGAGAGTTTCCAGTCTGTCACCCAGGTTAGCGGCAGTGGTTCAATCGTGGCTCATTGTAGCCTTCTTCACCTCCCAGGCTCAAGCAATCTTCCCACTTCAGCCTCCTGAGTAGCTGGAACCACAGGTGCATGCCACCATGCCTAGTTAATTTTTTTTTTTTTTTTGGTACAGATGGGGTCTCTCTCTGCTTCCCAGGCTGGTTCTGGGGTCCTCCTGCCTTGGCCTCTCAAAGTGCTGGGATTACAGGCATGAGTCACCACATCCAGCCTCGTATAGTATTTTCTTGATCATTTTCTCCTTCCATTTACTCTTCTTTTTTTTCAGAAATATTGAACTTATTATCTCATGTTTTTACCTTTTGCTCCTAATGTCCACTTCTATCTCTTATATCTTTTTGAGGGGCATGGGGGGAGACTTCCTCTATTTTTTTCTCCAATTCTTCTATTTTTAAAAAAGTATTTTATTATGGGAAACTTCAAATATATACAAATCAGAGGTAGAATAATAAACCCAAAGTAGTCTTCACCTGCCTTCAACAGTGCCACTGCACACATATGGCCAATATTGTCTCAGCCTATGTCCTTCCCACTTCTCCTGACTGTCCTAGCCATGCATCATTTATATTTCACTGTGAATCTCTAAAAGATAAGGTCACTTAGAAAACACACTAAAAACAAAGCGTTTACAATAACATTATCTCATTTAAAAATAAGAATAATTATTTAATAATATTATCTGGACATATTTGTATACCAACTGTCCTATAAACTTTTAAAAGTAAAATTTAAACTTAAATCATACAATCATTTAAACAATCATTAAACTTTTGTTTAAATTCTGATCAAATGTGGTTCATACAATTGTATGTAAACATACAATGATTAATCTCTAAATCTCTTTTATAGGCTCCTCCTCTGTCTTTTTCCCACCTCCGCAAGTTTTTGTTGAAAAAATAACTGTAGTTTCCTCACAGTCAGATTTTGCTGACTGCATTCCTGTGGTGTCATTTAACATGTTTCTCTCTTCTTTGCATTTCTTGTAAACTGATGGCTAGATATAGAGGCTTAATTCTTCTACTGAACTTTTCATTTTTGCCCATATGATGTTATTGATACATAATTAACATTATAATAATGTGTAACAGTTCCAGATATTCATCAATGAATTTTCATAATTAAATACACCCTCATAAATACCACCCAAACAAGATATAAAACATTTCTGTCTGTCCAGAAAGTTCTCTTGTGCTCTTAAGGTCAGTCCTTCCCACTTCCTCAGGCAAACACTTGATTTCTGTTACTATAGATTAGTTTTGTCTGTCCTTGAATGTTGTATAAATGGAATTGTATAGTATGTATTCTTTTCGTGTCTAACCTAATGTGTTTTTAACATCTTTAAGATTTGTCCATGTTTTTCTGCAAATGTATTTACGTATTTTCATTTCCAAATGTCCTTGTTGTTCTGTGAATGTTCCTCGGATTTATAGCATTTGTTCTTGTTTCATGGAGGCCTTATCTTCTCTTTAATCTCAAAAGATAATAAATAATTATGTTTTTTAAAAATGGTATCTTCTAGTCCCTGCATCGTCTGTTTTCATGTTCTTTTCCTCTGATTGTTTTGGTTCTGTTTTCATGAAGAGTTTTTTTGTTTGTTTTTTTGTTTTTGTTTTTACAAATGACAATTGATCTTTGTCTATTCATTCACATTTGGTGAGTGAAGCACCAAAGTTGACTATAAGCCTGTGGTATCCAGCTTATTAACTGATGAGGGGATCAGGTGGGATATCTCCATTCTCCCCACCTGAGAAGTATCAGCCTGCCTGCTTTCATTCGGGGAACTGAGATGGGAAGGAGCTGAGGGTCTCCCTGAATATAGTATTTCACTTCCCACAGCTCTTTGGGTCTCAAGTGTTCCTCAGGTCCTTGCTTGGTTCTTTGGTGACTCTGCTGGGGTGCAGAGGCATAAAAGAAAGACTATAAACAACAAGCAGAAAAACGGTTAAGTCCGTGTGGCAGTCAGTAAGTTCTACTCAGCAACATTTATTGTGAGCTTGCTCTGTGTGGCACCCATCCAATGAGCACATTTCAAAAGGTGAGGACATTAAGGATTAAATGTACTAATGAGGATACTGGATAAACCTAAGTTGCTCAGTAGAAGGTAGGGTGAAAGGACAACACACCTTGCTAAGAACAAAGGATTGTGAAACACACATGCTGAGAGAAATTGGAAATAATAATGGAAAACATTATTATATTATTCCATGCTAAATATTTTCTTGTAGTGCTTTATGTGTGAATTCCTCATTTGATCTCCATAATAACCCTATGAGATAGCTAGCCCATTTGGGTGATTAGGAAACTGAACCATAGAGAGATTAAATCTGCTTCAAGATCACCAACCTAAGAATCACACACGGGGTGCACCTTTTTTTTTTGAGACTGAGCTCACTCTGTCACCCAGGCGCAGAGTGCAGTGGCATGATCTTGGCTCTGCAACCTCCGCTCCCGGGTTCAAGTGATTCTCCTGCCTCAGCCTCTCCCAAGTAGCTGGGATTACAGGCATCTGCCACCATGCCCAGCTAATTTTGTATTTTTGCAGGAGACAGGGTTTCACCATGTTAAAGTAGCTGGTCTGAACTCCCGACCTCCAGTGAGCCACCCGCCTCGGCCTCCTGGGTTGCAAATTACAGGTGTGACCCACCACCTGCCCTGACTGCACTTTTAACTACTACATTATTCACCTTCTAAGAAGTAGGTGAAGTAACTTTTCTTATCCCTCCAAGTTCCTTCACAGATTTCTTTTCTCCCTTTGTAGAGCTCTTCTTCCCTCTCCTATCTGCCCAGTACTAAGTCCTTGATCTTTAGGCACTCTCATAAAGATGTTTCCTTCCCCTTACTCCCAGTGAATTCTCTCCATTTCGCCTGTTTCAGGCTGGCTTGTTGCTCACACAGCAGAGAGTTCGGGAGATGGAACCAGACCTCAGAGCCATGCCTGCAGCCACCTCCCCAAGGAAATAAGTAAAGAATTCAGTCGCCATCTTTACAGCAATCAGACTCCCCAGTAGTGGAAAGAGCATGAGACAGGCACGCAGGAAGGCCTTAGATTTTAAATAATTTTCAGGATCAACCACTCCTTGTCCTAAAGACAGAAAATGTCAGCCATGGAACTTGAAGGGCACTAATTCTCCTGAAGATCAGAGGTATTTCACTGAGGAATGGAATTAGAGGCGCACGCCAATACTTTAAGCACCCACATTCCACGCAGCCTCCAGCTGAAAAACAATTGCCTGCCCTTTAAGTGCCATTTGTCTTCTGCATGTGAACTGCCTCCCAGAGTAGGGTGGGAGGAGAGAACGCCAAGCAGCGGAGCAGGTCCAACCACTGACTTACAGCTCGCTTAACTCCTGCAGCTACACAGGCCGTGTGCCTCCGTCTCAGCGGCATCAGAACTGTCTCATTCACAGTGCATGTGACCAGAACCGCCATGCCCAGGCTGCAGGGATTGCCCATGTCAGCACTCTTAGTGGAGAGGTGTGTGTGTGTGTGCGTTGTATCCTTTCTGCTCTTACTTTGGGTTTATGGTGACCTTCCAGACCACACACGGCCAACACCTGGTCAGGCAAAACCAAGTATACCTGTTACTGGGCTATACTGAGCATCAGACTCTCACGGGTTTATAGGATGCCTGGCAGTGGTGTCCCTCTCCACCCCCAAGGGGCAGCGAGTCCTTCTAGCAGCCAGTAATCTCAAGCAGATTGCTTGTCCCATCAGGCCACCTGTCACCCACAGGTGTCCAGACATTGGGGGAAGGTAGACCCTTAAGGTGGGATTAAGATCCCAAGCTCCGCTGACCTGTCCAGATACCGGCCACATTGTTTGCTGTTGAGTGCTGGCTTTTCCATTGACTCTGTAGCTGTTACTCACCGAACTGGTGAGGCCCAGTGTCTTGGACAGAGTCCTGCGGTGGAGCCTGGACAACCAGGAAACCAGACTGGGACCTTCGCAGTGCAGAGAACAGGGAGGGGCTTCTGGTGGAGCTGAGAGGGCACAGTTCACATCTTAACAGTTTTACAAGTCCATGAAAAGTATGTGTGCTGAGTTCAAGGCTGCAGTGACAACCAAACCCTCCAGCTCCCACAATCTGAAAACTTGGCAATCCCTTCAATTCCACTATCAAAAGAATGGTCAGTGGTCGGCCTCCTTGGGGTGGCCGGCCAGGCTGGATTAGTGACGAGGCGGAGAAAGGAGCGAGAGGAATGCGATCTGCATAAAGCCAAGCACACTGCCACGCCGCAGCTGTGAAACTGCTCGCTGATGCCTCTTCCCCAGCTCATCGCTGCATCCGTGATCTGCCTGACAGCACAATCCAAAACAGCAGGAATCAGAATACATCTTTGTTTGCCGTGGCAGGAGAACTGTTGAGCAGAGGAAAACAAGCCGAGCTTAGCGCTATCAGCTGTTTCCTGCCTGCTCTTCCTTCCTCCAGGGGGCCTGGCCGCTTTGTTCTCGGCTCCCAGCTGCTCCTCTGCGCCAAGCAGTGGCCTTTGCAGACCTCGGAGGAATGCGGCCCTGGGACCTCAGGATTGAGCCTCAGGTCTACTCGGCGCTGCTCGGCCCCAGGCCGTGAATCGAGCGCAGCAGTGTCGCGGAGGCCGGCCTCTGCCCCTGGAAGCCTCGCAAGCCGCTTTCTGCCGCCACTTCCTGGGCGGGAGGGCGCATCCCATCAGAGGCAGCTTCTGCTCTTCCTGACACTTCCTGGCGGACACCCATTTCAGAGGAGAGAGCTCAAGCACAGGAACCCCAAAGAGGGTCCTCGCTATAACGCTTGCAGGATAGAGTCTGGGTGAAATGTTGGTTTGCTGTGGTTCAGATCCCAGTTCTACCAGCGCTATAAGCTGGTCACCACAGCCACTTACTCAACCCTCTGAGCTCAACAGTTCTTGCTCATGGGACTGCGATGAAGATTAAAAACGGGTAAAACAGATTGGGTGTCGTCTCAAAACCTGGCGCAGAGCAGGCCTGCTACCACAGTAGATATTAGCGGGTGTTGTTACCATGCCTGGGTTCTGGTTGTTTCAGGCAGGACATACACAAGACTCCATCAGACTGTGTTGGCAGGTATGGCACATGGTCAGAGATCAAGTGGTTCTAACTACTTGAGAGCATGTGTTCTTTCCGTGGTTTCTTGTGCTGTGAATCTGGCAGCAGGCTGAGCACTCTCCACGGTGCCTCTAAGATGCTCAGAAGAAAACTACACAATGAAACCTCACGCAGCTGTGAGGAAGCAAGACAACTGTGAGCAAATTGCTTGACTCAACCCAGATGCAAGCTGTTTCCCCCCACTGCCCACTGCTGCAGCCTTGGGGTCCTGCAGGCTCTCTGTGCCTTACAGAGGACAAAGCACAGCTGCAGAGGTCACCTGAGCAACTGCAGTGCCTGTCAGGTGAGGCAGAAACAGTTGCAACAGTGGGGATTGTGACTGAAGGTCTGGCGCTTCTTGTACAATCATTTTTTGAGTGCCTAAACCAAGTGGCTGACCCGGCTAGGCATTCATCTACCTTGTTTAATCTTCTCATCAATGCTAAAGGCAGGTATGGTATTCATCAGGCTCAGAGAAGCAGTCTGACTTGCCTAAGGTCATGTGCAGGGTTGTGGCCAGCCCATGCGGCAGACGTTTGTGCCACCAGGCTGCACTCCAAATGTTGGTGCGTGAGCAAACCAGCCTCCAGTGTGACGCTGGCCCCCACTCTCCCATGTAGGGGCCTGCACATCTGTACACAGCAGCCAGAGTAATGGCACAACCAGGATTCAAACGCTCAAACTCCTATCTCCTTGACCCGCAGGACCATATTTCATCAGCTGCGCATGCATGATCTAAATGAATGCTCTGAGCTTCTAACATGTGTCTATATTAGATTAGATGATGCAGCAAACATTAGGTCCCTGAACTGTATCATCTCAGATGACAGCTCCTCCTGCCGCATTCCAGACCTCTGGCCCAACCTCTCCTTACTCCTGTGACTCCATTAGACAATGTGTCTCGCAGCCCTTGAGTACTCTGCTTCCCTCCCAGCCTTTCTATGCTCATTCTAACTCCTTCTCTTTGATTGTAATTCCAAGGCTATTTTTTTTTAATATACAAAAGCAGAGTCTCGCTGTGTTGCCCAGGCTGGTCTCCATCTGCTGGGTCATGGGATCCTTGTGCCTTGCCTCTCAAAATGCTGGGATTACAGGCATGAGCCACCACCCTGGCTCCCAAGGTTGATTTTGTCACTTGCCTGCTGAAAAGCTTTTCATTTCCCAGTAATTTTGCCAACAGGTTCAAACTCCTTGTTCAACTCCTCCAGTCCCTAGGCCTGGTGTCTACAACTCTAGTTGTATAATTTGTCATTCCTCCCACTCCTCATGACTCCACACTCCAGCCAGCTGCAAAGCCACTCTGTTCTTGTGACTTGAGCCCCAGGCCTCATGCTGAGACGCACTTTATGCCAGGGTTTTCAACTGTGGCACTGTGGAGGTTGTGGCCTGAATATGCTTATGTTGGGGCTGTACACCATTAAAGATGTTTGGCAGTATCCCTGGCCTCTTACCCAACAGATGCTGCTAGACTTCCCAGTCATGACAACCAAAACTGTCTCCAGACATTACAAATATCCCCAGGAAGTCTGGCAAAATCACTCCTCTGCTGAAGACTATCGAGCTCCGGGCTGATCCCTTTACCTATCCCATGCTCCTTCTTCCTCTTTACCTGTCTAGCTTCATGCCTTTTAAGTCTTAACTTGGTTGTCCCTTCTCTTGAAGTTCTTCCTGACCCTGTGACTCCAGGTCCTCATGCTGGGTTGCGCCCTTCCCATGTACCTAGCTTGACAAATCTCTTGATCATACTGTATTATCACTGCCCATGTCCTCGTCCGCTCCCTTTCCTCTCCTGATCCTCAAGGCAGGCATTTGTTTGGCTTGGTTCTGTTTAGTATTCAGGGTCTTTGTTTGCCTGGTTCCTGTTTAGTACTTCAGGGGTCTAAGTCTGTGCTTTCTTGTGACATAGCATTATCTAACAAATCATTCTTGACACCCCATCTTCCTTTAACCTCACAGATTCAAACCATCACTGAGCCTATTCACTGAAATATTATATCGCCTCAATTCATCCACTGCGTTCATTCTCCTACTCCCTCTGTGGTCTGAGCCTCACTGTTCTTTATTGGATGACAAAGACCACAAACTACCTGAATTTCTGAATCTGTTTTTCATCAATCGCGTAATCTTTTCAAACAAAATTTGAAACATGTCCCCTTCATGAAACTCCTGCCACAGCTTCCAGTGCTTAGAGACCATCACCCAAAGTCCTTTACATGGCCTGTAATGCCTGGTTCCGCTCTGGCCCTGTCCTCTCCATTCTTTCATTTGAACCACATTTCCTCTTGACAATGTGCTTTTCATTTGGCTTCCTTTTCATTTTTCTAAAGCAACGTGGTACTTGCCTGTGACTATTCCCATGGCCTGAAATGCTCCTCCCCACCTGTGGGGGCTATGGTGGTACTTGGCTCCAACTTTCCTTCAGGTTCCTGGCCCCCACCTCCAGCTGGGCCAAGGTCAGGCCAGTTTCCAGTGTCTTTGACAGGGTCCTGTGCTCAGAGGCACACTTGTACTGGGGTTTAATGCCGTTTTGTAATCATTCATCTTTGAATTTGTGCTCCTTTAAGGAAGTCCAATAAGCTGATGGAGCTGCATTCTGGAGGCTCAGCTCACACTGTCCCCCTCTGCCACCTGCTTGCCTCCCAGGGAGGGTTCATGGCTGGCATTTCCACTTCCCCACTTCTACTCCCCACCCTCACCCAGTGACTATTGCCACTTTCTGCCTGGCAGGGGGCCTGGACTCAGAGCAGGGAGGGCTGGGCGCACACATGCTTTCAGGTCCAGGCATGGATGGAGCTCCCGAGTGCTTGTGAGAAGTTCCACCACTCCTGAGTATCCCAGAGCCTAGGGAGTATGACATTAAATAGCAAATCCAAACCCCATGGCTGGTTGAAAAATAGAGCATGGAAGGAGACTTCTTCCTGATATTTGAAGAAGAGGCTCCCATATTTTTATTTCACAGTGAGCTCTCAAATTTATGTAGCCACATCTGGCTGGGGCTACTGCTTGATGATGGCTCACAGCTGCACCCTCCCTGAACTGCCTCCTGCAGCCGGGACAGCATCCCAGGCTTCTGCTCCTTCCAGCAGCTGTCACGTCACTGACTGCATTCTTAGGATACACAAGTCGCTGACTCACTCTCAATTTGGGACAATCAGAAGAGTCATCCTAACCTCCAGAGTTCCCTGAAGATGGTTGAGGTCTTAGTCCCCGCCTGCCGCATTGGAGGTGAGAGGTTTCGCTCAGTCCTGCCTTCCTCATGGCTGCGTCTCAGGAGAACACTCCTGAGTAGAAGAAACAAACTCAGTTTCTCCCACAATACTCTGAAAACACAGACCAGTCAGCACCCATTCTGCAGCAGATGCCCACGATGTCCTCCTTCTAATTCAAATTCATTATGACACTATCTCCTGGAGATAGTGCCAGGTCATTACAGGGTGAGGGCTCAGTCCCCAAGGCTGCCCCCAGACTTTGAATGCCAGTGGCAAGTCCGTCTTCCAAAAACTTCTGACCAGCAGTTATAAATTGAGGTTCCCACAAACCTCTCTTTGGTTTCAATTAATTTGCCACAGCAGCTCACAGAATGTAGCATCATGTTTTCTTGGTTTATTACAAGGGATATTTTAAAGGACACAAATAAGCAGCCAAATGAAGAGTCATACAGGACTAAGCTGGAAGGGTCCCAAGTTCAGAAGCTTGTTCTCCCATGAGCTGGGGTGAGCCACACTCCCAGCACGTGGATGCGTTCTTGTTCATCTTCCTGGAAGCTTCCACGTGTCTGGCTATCAGGAAGCTTCCTGAACCCCGCTCCTTTGGGCTTTATGAGGCTTAATTACATAGGTATGATTGATAAAATCACTGGCTGGGGGATAGGCTGAAAGTCCTAACCCCACCTCTGCCTGGCTTTTCTGGTGACCAGTCTCCATCCTGTGCTTCTACAGGCTGCCAGCCACCGGTCAACTCTTCATTAATATACAAAAGATGTTGCTTGAAGATTTCCGGGCGACTTTAGGAATTGATGCCAGAAAATGGGATGAAGACTAAATATATATTTCACAGTACTGCTCCCCAATATCTTCCATAAATCTTGTCTCAGAGTCTGTTTCCAGGAGCCCAATCTGAGACACCACCAGAACCTCTTTGCTGAGTGAATTCTTTTTCCTTAGCATCATGTGTTGAATTTCATATGGCTTACTTTTGATTTCCTTCACATACTAAGTCAAATCCCTCTGAGAGCCCCACATGTACCATGTCTTCCCAGTGTTTATCATAAGTGATATTTAATATTTATTTGAATGATTAAGTTCTTTTTTTTTTTTTTTTCTGAGACAAAATTGCTCTGTTGCTCATGCTGGAGGCAGTGGCATGATCTCCACCACTGCAACCTCTGTCTCTTGGGTCCAAGCAATTCTTTCTGCCTCAGCCTCCCAAGTAGACTACAGTTGTGTGCCAAATGTTTGGCTAATTTTTTTGTATTTTTAGTAGAGAGAGCCACCAGGTTGGCCAAGCTGGTCTTGAACTTCCTTGACCTCAAGTGATCTGTCCGCCTTGGCCTCCCAAAGTGCTGATTACAAGACATAAGCCACCATGCCTAACTGAATGTTTATTAAGCTTCTCCTATCTCCCCATACTAGAATATAAGTTCCAT